TTGAGACGTGCTCTGCACGGGGAGGGAGAATTTTGGGATAGAATTTGGGGTTTTTGAGCAAGGAATTTGGGGTTTTCCCCCAGCTTTGAAGTCCTGCCCATGCTGGCTTGGAGGAAATTGGGACGATTTTGGTGAGTTGAGAGTGACGCTGTTCTGGGGTAAAAAGCAGGAATTCAGGGGGCAGGGAAGGCCACCCAGACCCCAAATCCTGGGGTTTCACCCCAAAATGGCCCTGTCAGAGTGAACTCTGACAATCCCGACTCGGGACAGCCCCAGAGGCCGAGGAAATGAGGGGAAAGTGCCCCAAACTGGTCGTGCAGGTTGAGGCGGGGCCGCGGGCGCGGCGCAGCCCCGGGTCCAGCCCCGAGGGCCTTCCTCAAGCCCTGGGGAGGTTCATTAAGCATTGGGGTGGTTAATTAAGCACTAGGCATGTTAATTAAATGCTAATTAGAGCCACCGAGGAGCGACAAAGCCGTGACAGGCGTAGGAGCAGTGCAGCCCCCCCAAAATGAGGCCAAACACGGGGGTTTCTCTCACCCCAAACTCCAGAACAGCCCAAGGGTCAGGGACACCCCAAACTCAGGGGTTGTGCCCCAAAAATGCAGAAATTAACCCCAAAATGGGGGTGAGGGGGAGTCCAACCCACCCTCCCACCTAGGGGTCCCTCTGGTTCCCCTCCCCAACAGCACCAGCTCCCCTTGCCCCCCCTCCCCACGTACGTTTTTGGGGTGAAGTTGGCAGAATCCGCCTCTTCTCACCCCGTTTTGGGGTCCTGCAGCCCCGGCGGGAGCCGTGGGGCGAGGGCCAGGCCCGGCTGCAGCTCAGCTGCCCCTTCTGCCCCCCTGCCATGGAGGAAACACCGGCCAAGCGTCAAAACCTCCGGGAAAACCACCGAGCTCCAGGAAAAGCAGCAACACCCCCACTCCCCCTCCCCGAGGCAGCTCCGGCACCCCAAAATCCCCTTTTTTGGCTAAACCGCGGCTCGGGGGGGGTGGGGGAGCCCCCCCAGCTCCCAGCCCTTCCCTGGCTGCGGCCACTGAGGGCAGCAGGTCCCGGGGCACTTTTTGCCCCTTTTCCATGGGGTTTTGCCCCATTCCCGGGGGTTTTTGCCCCATTCCCGCGGATTTTTTCCCCATTCCCGCGGGGTTTTGCCCCATTCCCGCGGGTTTTTGCCCCATTACCGTGTGTTTTTGCCCCGTTCCCGCGGGTTTTTGCCCCGTTCCCGCGGGTTTTGCCCCCTTCCCGCGGGTTTTGCCCCGTTCCCGCAGTTGTGTAAGCGCCGGGAGCCCCCGGGCGCGGGGTCCCGCTGTGTCACCGCCTGTCCCCGCCTGTCCCCGGCTGTCCCCATTCCCGCGGGGTTTTTGCCCCATTCCCGCGGGTTTTTGCCCCATTCCCGGGGGTTTTTGCCCCATTCCCGGGGGTTTTTGCCCCATTCCCGGGGGTTTTTGCCCCATTCCCGGGGGTTTTTCCCCATTCCCGGGGGTTTTTACCCCATTCCCGCGGGGTTTTGCCCCGTTTCCATGGGTTTTTGCCCCGTTCCCGCGGGTTTTGCCCCGCTCCCGGAGTTGTGTAAGCGCCGGGAGCCCCCGGGCGCGGGGTCCCGCTGTGTCACCGCCTGTCCCCGCCTGTCCCCGGCTGTCCCCTCCCGGGCCCGCTCCCTACCTCTGCCTGCGGGGGCGGCGCTCCCGGGATCGCCGCTTTTTTAATTTAATTTTTTTTTTTGGGGGGGGGTAAAACCGGCAGCAAAAGCGAATTTCTCACCCCAAACTTCCTCGAGCAGGAAGGCGAGGCCGCCCCCGCCCCCCCAGCCCGAGGCTCCTCCCTGCGCCGCTCCCGCCCTGCGGGGGGGTGGGGAGGGTAGGGGGGGCACGGAGCGGTTTTGGGGGGTCCGGGGGGACC